GAATAGTGGGAACGCTTATTTCCACTTCTGTACACTATTTTTCTGGATGGTCGGTACTCTTCGTAGAGTTGACACCATTTAATTCTATTAGATGTATCCTGGGACCGCGTTGAACTATCAGATGAAACTTAAGGTTGATTCTATGATATCAAGACACTCTACATTTGTCCACATGCACCAATAAGAATGTATCAATTGAATTAATTAAATCTAAATTAAAAATGATAAAATGATGTGGTCCAATCAAATGAATTATAGGTACGATACCTCATTTTTTAGAAAGGTACCGGAGTTATCACCAAAACTTCAAATCTGTCCATGATAACTCAATAATTTTATTGAGTACGTACTGTGCTCATTAGCCTATTAATTAATATGGAAATAAATGATTTGTCCTATGTAAATGTTAACCGTTCTAAAATATGGTCATTTCTTTATATTTATTAAATACATATATTTGATTGAATAACCACATCGCATTACTGATTTATTGATGAGCATGTTACATCCTTGATAAAATTAGGGAGATTTATTTAAATATGACTAAATAAAAGGATAATTGCAACAATAGAAGTTTAAAGTTTATTTCTTAAAATAGGACAAACTCTTCTTATTCTACTCTTTCATTTGTCCTTCCTAATAGTACTTTTTTAAACAATTATTATGAAATATAAAATAAAAATAAAAAAAATAAAAATCGTAAAAAATAAATAAAAATTATACAGACCTCAATCATCACCTCAGCCACCTTCCAGCAACCTCCGGTCGCTGAAAAAGATTGCCGAGTTGGGGGGAAAATGTCATTATGATGACAATTTTGAAGAGAAAGCTGAATATTTTCAAAGAGTAAAAATGACAACTTAATGTCATTTTCAGAAAAATGTGACATTTTTTTACACAAGATGACATTTTTTCGGCGAGCGGAACTGATGGTGCTGGGAGATAGAGGACGCGTTGGCAGTGACCTACATATTTTTTAATTACTTTTTAGGTATTTTATTTTATTTTTTTAAGTTTTTTAAATAGGAAAAATTGATTGTAATAATCCCAACTATTGGCGGTCCGCTCATAATAATCTCAACTATCGATTATTACAGAATAATCCCAACTTTAGGGACCTTCCACCAATACTGGTCCGACGTGACCGACTATAAATAAATTCTTATAGTTTCTAAAGAGATATAGCAGGTAATCCCTATAAATAATCCCAAAATTTAATTTTTACGCTTAATTTCTCTTAAAAATTCACTTGTTAGAGCAGGTAATATGCGGTTATGGACCATCATTGGCGTACGGTCCATATAGTTGGGATTATACAAAAATAATCAATAGTTGGGATTATTATTAGTGAACCGGCAATAGTTGGGATTATTATTTTCAATTTTTCCTTAAATATTTTATTAATTTATTTTTAATTTTTTTATTTTCATTTTATTTTTTTACGTTTTATTATTAATTTTTAAATATTTTATAAATTTTTTATATTTTTATTATAAATAAAACTATGATTTCATTATTAATAAAATAAATCTATTGAAAATTATAGAAAGGGTAGAATGGGAAGAAGGGACATATATTAGTCATATTTTAGGAATAAAGGAATTATACTCCTATTGTTGAACTTTGAGCTAATTTTAGTCCTATTAAGGTTAATTTCTTAATGGTTTCATAACAACCCAAACAAAAAAATGGAAAAGGTCTACTTCCGATCTAAAAAAAGTGAGGCTCGGGACTGAGACTTGTTCCCCATTAGTGCGGTCTTAGTGCGTGACCCGAACCTTATTTTCTGATCCCGGTACCGATTTGAAACCAAGCGGTTCCGATCTCGACCTATCCCAATCTCAAAAATGGAGGCCAAGGACCGAGAATTCTTTCCCACTGGTCCGGTCTCAGCCCTGACCGGAATCTTATTTTCCAGGCATCCCAATCTTAATTAAAAACCGGACAATCTCGGTCTCGAGCGATCCTAGGAGCGGAACCAAGCCGACCCTGTACGTGTGAGACAATTGTAAACAAGAGTTGGACTTGGGGTACACACTTTTGGTGTACACACTTTTTACACATGTCTGTGTAAGGTTTTTTTTATGTCTGTACAGACATAAAAAAACCTTACACAGACATGTGTAAAAAGTGTGTACACCAAAAAGTGTGTACCTTTAGAATTTTTCTTGTAAACAATTGTCTAAACTCTCAAAGAAATCTGATGAGGATATATTCAAGCAAAATGATTGGCTCGATCATTATTATTTTTGTAAGATAAATGCAGGAGAAATTAGAAGATAATTAAGGAGTATTAATTTATCACATTAAATTCTGAAGCGAAGATCATCATTATTTTTACCCTTCCAAAAATGTCACTATCATAGGTCAAATATGGGTCCTAGGTGTATTGAGTTGGAATTCTACAATTGGTTGAAATGATGTGAAAAATTTTGCATTTATGTTCACTTTATGGGTCCCAAAGTCATTAGAATAATACATTTTCTAGCTCCAATTACATTGATGGATAGTCTACCCGGGGGTATATATCCGAAGGGTTATCGCGGGAAGTAACTTAGAGAGAAGTCAGAGCAAGTAAATATATAGAGAGAGAGTGTATTATAAATGTGAAGCGTTTTCAGCGTGGTTACAAATGAGGAAATGGGGCGCTATTTATAGTAGCAATAAATGCCGGGCAGGGACACGTGTCAAGCGCTCATTGGCCGAGAGGTCACCTCAACTGGTTGGCGCTGGCAGCCGCATGTGGCCGCATTTAATGCGGCTGTTGGATGGGACGTCTATGCAGAGTACGGTGATCTGTACGCATGTGAGGCGGATATCTTGTCGAGTGAGATGCCTTCGGCTATAGAGCAGTAGCCGAGGGCTCTTCCTCCCGATGGCACCCCTGTTGCCGAGGGCTCACAGTGCCGAGGGCTGCTGTTTTCTGCCGTTTTTCCCCCAGTTTCTTAGTTTGCTTGAGAAACCCGTTCTGTGAGAATTTGGAGCCTTCGGCCAGGGGGCCGAAGGCACCCCTGTGCGTTGTGCGGACTGCTTGGTACTCCGGGCGCTGTGAATTGGGCCTGTTGGGCCTTTTGACCTGTTGGGCCTTTGCGGGAGTAGTAGGAGTCTGTGGGCCGGGGGTTCCCGGGCCATATACTCCATCAGGAGTCCCTCACTCCTTTTGCCGAAAGGTACTTGAGGGAAAAGGAGTAATTTGTGCTTGCCCTTTGATGTTGTCCCGTTGTGATCTCTGAAGTTGGTGAGGAGTTGTTGCTTTTATGTCCCTGCCGAAGGCGGTCCCTCAGTTACCCACATGTCGGGACTTGAGGGCTTGCTTTGTTGTTTGTTGGAATTTCACAGATTTTGTAATTTAATGATTTTCCCGAAGGCGTCCTCCAGTCCCCCACTCCTTGAGGCACTTGTAAAGTGGTGAAAAGGAGTAAAGTAGTTACGTTGCTGTTGTGGGCCGAAGGCTGACGCTTTTCGTTTCATTTTGGGGGGATGCCTCGTTAAAAACCTCATTAGGAAAAACCCTTTGGGAAAAAATCCTAATGAGGGAAAAAGAGTGCACCGAATTCCCCTAATGATGAATCGAAAATGTCCAACCTTGGTAAAAAATGGAGAATGACGGGAATCCCGAAGGCTCTCTCTTCTGAGGGCTCCTGTGTTGATTAGCCGAAGGCTGGCTGTTGATGTCCTGGTGGCGCCGAATGGGAGCCCCTCAATCCAGGGATCGAGGGCCTGCCAGATGAGGGCAGCAGTGAAGCTGTTACCGGGGGGTCCACTGTATGTTGATGGAGTGGTGATTAAGATACCCGAGGGCCATGGGCCATCCGTCAATGAGGCACTCCCCGGGGGCTACCCGGTTTTGCGGAGCTGAGGGGAATACCCGAGGGGTACCCTGATATGCATCCCTAGGGGTCTGAAGGAGTGATCCCGAAGGCGTGTGTAATGTGCGCTGTGGGGCACAACCGGGGGTACTTCTGGGTGAGTGCACCCGGAGGCTATCCTTGATGAAGTGGAGTGAAGTAGAAAACCCGGGGGTTCCCAAAATATAGCCGTTGAAAATATAGCCGTTGGAATATGTAACGACAGGATATAGCCGTGGGGGGGGGGGGGGTGGCACACGTGGCGTGTGAAGGCTGGTTGTCCGTGGGCGGCGTCACCGGTTGGGTGAAACGGCGGTGTGTAATGATGGCGTCCATCCGGAGGCCCGGAATCCAGGCCCAAGCCCGGATTCATCGCCTATAAATACCCCAAGGCCAGGCGTTCCTCCGTGTGCGATAAATTTGTTAGCGAAGCTCTGTCAATTTTTCTAGAGAGAGAAAGTTCAGCCTTCGGTCAAAACTCAGCTTCCGAGGTCAGTGCTCCCTGCCTTTCTCCTTCTAGCATAGCTGTACTGTGCCCTTAGTTTAGGAGATAGAATTCACTAGGAACCTTAGTTCCCCCGAACCCTCGAGCTAGAGTGTAGAATGTCGTCCCAGAGTGACTCTCAGGACATCTCGAGGACGCCCTCGATGGAGGACGAAGGCATCTCCGACGTGGAGTCCGGCAGCAGTCAGCCCTCGGATGGTGGTGATGTAGCCCTCGCCACTGAGGTGCAGAAGGATCTGACGGCCGAGGCCGAGGCGGAGGAATTCGAGCGGACCGCGGAAGATGAGGAGTTAGCCCTCGCCGTCCAGGTTGCTGAGGAGGAAGAAGAAAAGGAGAGGGCGAAGGTCACTGTGGCCGTCCTTCCCCCTCGGGGTGCTGGTGAGGCCAGTACCTCCCAGCCGCTGAATGCAGTTCCCATCCGGGTGGCCCCCGGGAGGAAGAAGAGGAAGACGAAGGCTGGCCCCCAGAAGAAAGTAAGGGCCGTCGATCAAGGGGGGCCAGTAGATCTGCCGGAGGGTTACTCCTTCCTGGACACCGCCGCTCTGGAGATAAAGTCCCAAGCTGACAGGGCGGATATCTACATCACCCAGTTGCACGTAGGGCCCTCGGCCGTAGTAGTCGAGCCGGGTCCTGATGACGTGCTGTCGCGGCCCCCCGAGGGATGTATAGCCGTGCACGTGCTCTCGGTCTCGATGGGCCTCCGGTTCCCTCTCCATCCGTTCCTCCGGGAGTACTTGAGGTACACCGGCCTGGTTCCCTGCCAACTGACCCCCAACAGCCACTCGTACATAACTGGGTTCGTGAACCTGTGCAAACTCCGGGGGGTTACACCGAGCTTGGAGCTATTCTTCCAAAGCTTCAACCTATGCCGGGGGGGCCATACCAATGCCGAGGGCTATGCGAACTTACAGCAGATAGCCCAGTTCAAATTGTTCACCGAGGCCCCTTCTTCCAACAAGGGGTGGAGAGAGCGATGGTGCTACATCAGACTGGCCGACAGCCCTTTCCCGAGGGAGTTGCGGAATTGCTTCCGGCGTCATGTGAAGGTCAAGAGCGCCGCCCTCGAGAAGGATGGCCTGAAGATTGCCGAGATTCCGGAGGGGCGGGATAAGAACATAACCATCAAGGAGTGCACCCTCGAGAAAGACCTGTATGCCCTCGGATTCCTGAGGTATCGGTTCATTGGGGAGACCGAGGAGAAGTATCCCCTCTATGATAAAGCCTTCGTGGGGGCAGGAGGTAGTGGCCGGGGGCTTTACATTTTTGTACTTTGAGATTTTCTGTCATGTTTGTTGTCGTGTCTCGAACCCCTCGGTGCTAACATTTTAACTTGTTGTTTCTTTGCAGGTAGCAGGATGAATGCCAACGCTCTGTTCGCAAAGAGGAAGGGCAAGACCCAGTCCAAGGAGAAGGGGCCCTCGGGCCAGAAGCCAGTCGACGCGCTTTTCCCGAAGGTCATAGAACCTTCCGCCGGGGACCCCCATGCTGCTGTGGGGACCGGGGGGTCGAAGGCCGAGGCGGCCGCCAAGAAGAAGAGGGGCGACAAGGGGGTGGAGCCCCCCACCAAGAAACAGAAAGGCGCCGTGGGTGCTGTCGGGGGGGCGGCCCCCCTCGTAATTATTGATGACATGCCCGCTGTTGATGGGCCTCTAGCCTCGGTCTCTCCGAAGGATCCGGTGAATCCCCCCCGGGAGGAATTACCCCGGGAGATCCGTCAGCTCTCCTTTGCCCCCGGCGTTTCCCTGATGCACGGCACTGCCGAGCCGAGGGCCTTCCTTCGGGGCATCACCTCGAAGATGGACAGAGAGGTCTTCGAGACCTACGATGATGATGCCCTCGAGAACAGGATCCTCCGGTCCTCTCTTACTGTAAGTATCTGCTTCCTTTTCCCTTCTCTTTATTAGTGTAGTATTATTTTTTCCGAGGAATAATCTAACTCCTTTGATCGTTGTTTGCAGGCCTGCATAGCTCTCGGGGAACAGGCCCGAAGGCGCGAGGAAAGGCGCCTTCACGAGGCCGCCCAAGATAAGAAGATGGAGGTGCTGATCCGCAAGAACTCCGAGGCGGTGAAGCACGCTGCACAGCTGGAGGAGGCCCTCCGGGAGGCGAAAGCGGCGGCGGAGAAGGCCAAGGCTGACGGTATAGCCGAAGGCAAGGCAGAGGCCGAGAGGGCTGCTGCCGAGGCGGCGAAGAAAGCCGCTGATGAAGCCCAGATCGTCAAGGAGGGAGCTGTGGCCGAGGCCCGAGGGGAGGCAGTCGTTGAGTTCCTTGCCGAGGGCTGGAGGATCACACTCTGTAATGATCACATTGACTATTTTTGTGTTGTAATTGAATGATTGCCTTCGGGCTTGGTGTATATGATATGCTTCCTTCTGATCTGTTCATTGTTGAATGTATGCCTTCGTCTTTGTTTTGAATGTATGTTTTGTTCCTTTGAATGTATGTCTTAGGACTTAGAATGCCATCTGATTGTAGCTAGCCCTTGGGAGCCTTCGGTAGTTGGGCACCCTCCGCTGGATATGCAACCGAGGGTTCAGCAGCAATTAGGACTTAGAAAATTTTTCTAAGTGTAGCACAGCATGAGGCCTTCGGGCGTTTGTAGTAACCCACCTCCTAGGACTTAGAAAAATCTCTAAGTGTAGATTCCCCCTTGAGAGCCTTCGGGGTACGGCACCCATTCCTGATGTGTGAATGTTGGACCGAGGGCCCAATGCACATGACTTAGAGATTTTTGCAAGTGTAGTATGTCATGTAGCCTTCGGCTACTGTGGAGCCCCACCTGTAATATTGCATAGGCCGGGGGCTAATTCTTTTAGGACTTAGAAGATTTTCTTGAGTGTTGATTCCTTGTGAACTGTAGCCCTCGATTGATAGGTAGCCTTCGGCAATTAGGTCCCTTGAGATGAGGGTGAAATATGTAGGACTTAGAAAATCTTCTAAGTGTAGAGTTTCCCTCGAGAGCCTTCGGGAGGTGTCATACCTCCACGATGTATGAGTAGCTGACCGGGGGGGAAAGCATGTAGGGCTTAGAAAATATTCTAAGTGTAAAGTCTCCCTTGGGAGCCTCCGGGAGATGGCATCCCTTCTTGATGTAAGAGTAGTTGACCGGGGGGGAAATACATGTAGGACTTAGAAAATATTCTAAGTGTAAATTTTCCCTTGGGAGCCTTCGGGTGATGGCATCCCTCCTTGATGTAAGAGTAGTTGACCGGGGGGGAAATACATGTAGGACTTAGAAAATATTCTAAGTGTACATTTTCCCTTGGGAGCCTTCGGGTGATGGCATCCCTCCTTGATGTAAGAGTAGTTGACCGGGGTGCCTTCGGGTGATAGGTGCCCTCTGATTCCACATCACTTTGCGAGATGCCCGGGGGCTACTCATTTAGGACAGAATATGTTTTTTTAAGTGTTGTTGTATTGCATGGCCTTTGGCCACCATATTGCCTTGGCTGTAACATTGATTGGGCCGGGGGACCAATCTTTAGGACTTAGAATTTTTTCAAGTGCTGCTTCCTTGTGTAGCCTTCAGGTGCCCGGGGGCTGCTCCTTCAGGACATAGAATTTTTTCTAAGCATACATTGATGTTGACTCCTGTTGCTGTGAAGAAAGCCAATGAGGAGTGTGTGCCCTCGGCATACACTTTAAAAGTTGTAGAATTAGACCCTTGTCATGGGGAGAGGGCCCTCGGTATTTGTGCATAACAGATGCCTTTGGTGGTCGTTTGAAGTACCGTTTATTGGACCTTGGAGCCTTCGGTGTTTTTGTGACCGGAGGTGACCAGGTAGTGGACTTAGCCGTTTCCTGATGATATTTCCCTGAGTAGTATCCTTCGGGAAATAGGAGTCTTCAATGGCCGGAGGTGTTCCCGTGGGGAGCCCTCGGCATGTTGTGATTTTGTTGGAGTGTACTCTTTGATTTCTCGCTGAGTCTACTCCCCTTCACCCTTTTTTTTTTTTTTAGTTGGTGGTGAAGGGAAGGCATCAAGAAACTTGGTTTCTTGGTAAGGCTGGGCCTATTAGGAGACCATCAGAATACACCAATGGCTCTCCTCCCTCGGGTTAACCTTCAGAGTGCCGAGGGGATCGAGGGACGTTTCCTGGGCACAAGATATGGTGGTCCGTAACCTGCCTCCCTATGGGGGATGGCGCGGAAAGCGCCTCATTTTTGAAAGTCGTCCCCTCGGCGCTAGACATAGTCTGTGGCCTGCCACACCCTTGGGGTGGTGGCGCGGGGAGCGTTTCGGTTTGGAAGTCGAATCCTGGGCATTTCTCATGCCTGTCATACCCTGGGGGTAGTGACGCGGATAGCGTTCCGTTTTTGAAAGTCGAATCCTGGGCATTTCTCATGCCTGTCATACCCTGGGGGTAGTGACGCGGAAAGCGTTTCAAGGAAGGGTTTTCATTTGCACACTAGTTGCAAATGGCCAGGGGCACTACGTGCCGCCGGCACCGATGGTGGCGCCTTCGGTATATGCGTCCTCGTGGGGTACGGCTTTTAGAAACAACACTTGGTGTTAGTTTCGATGTGTAGCCCCCCGGTACTTGGTACCGAGGGGTCTTCTGTAGGAACACTTGGTGTTCTCTTGTCGTAGTTGATGTAGGCGTCTACCCTCGGTACTTGGTACCGAAGGGTCTTCAAATGAAACACTTGGTGTTTCCCAATAGATGTTTGGAAGCTGTTTGGAGAGCATATCCCTGGCACTGGGTGCCGAGGGGTCTTCTTTGAAACACTTGGTGTTTTTTCTTCGTTTCGATATTTGATGAGGGAGGTGTGCCCTCGGCACTGGGTGCCGAAGGGTCTTCTGTAGGAACACTTGGTGTTCTAATCTTTTCTTTTTTGATGTTGAAGGTGGGGAAGTACCCTCGGCACTGGGTGCCGAGGGGTCTTGACTGAAAACACGTGGTGTTTCCACTGTTTGTCGTAGGTGTTGATGGTGTCCGCCCTCGACAATGGGTACCGGAGGGGGTTCTTCTTGTGGTGAGGCCTGGGGCCTGTAGTCAGTATGAGGGCTTGATGTCTTGAATGTATCTTCATTCTTCGAAATTAGAGGCCTCGGGCCATTGGATAGTACATTCACTAGTTATGAGGGCTTGGCCGCTCTTACATTATTGATAAAATTTAACTAAATGGTGTACATTCCAGTGCCTAGGGACCTCTTTCCCGTTGGGGCGTTTGAGTTTGTAAGTCCCGGGTTTGATGATGGCTGCTATGATGTAGGGGCCTTCGAATTTTGGTGCCATTTTTCCTCCCTCGGTTGGTTGGCTGGCTTCCCTCCTCCGGAGGACATAGTCCCCCACTTGAAATTCCCGGGTTCGAACTTTGGCGTCGATGTAGCTTTTAACTTGCCTTCGGTAGTTTTCTGCCCGGATGAAGGCCTGCTCCCGGCGTTCTGAAATGAGGTGCAGGTCGAGGGCCATGTTGCTGTCGTTGACCTCGGGGTCATATTGGATCACCCTTCGGGTAGGAATGGTGACTTCCGTAGGAGCTTTGGCTTCAAAACCGTAGCAGAGGGAGAAGGGTGTTTCACCTGTAGCGCGCCGAGGGGTAGTGCGGTAGGCCCAGAGGATGTTGTGAAGTTCTTCCACCCAGCCACCTCCCTCGGCCTCCAGCTTCTTTTTTAGGCCCTCGAGCAAGGTCCGGTTGGCGTTCTCTACCTGCCCGTTGCCTTGAGGGTAGGCAACGGAGGAGAAGGTGTGTTTGATGCCCCATGCCTCCAGGAGGGCACAGAAGGGGGCTGCCTCAAATTGTGTTCCATTGTCGGAGATGATCTGCTGGGGGACGCCAAACCTTGTGAGGATGTTCTTGAGGACGAAGTGACGGCACTTCGCCTCTGTGATGCTGGCGAGGGGTTCAGCCTCCACCCACTTAGTAAAATAGTCGACGGCCACAATGATGTATCTGTTGTTGGAGGTACCCCTCGGCAGAGGGCCCACAAGGTCTATCCCCCATCGAGAAAATGGGACAGATGTGCTGATGGGGGCATAGTTGACCGCTGGCCTGCCGGGGGCTTTCTGGAAATGTTGACATGCGGTGCACCTCCGGGCAAGGTCAGCACAATCCCTGGCCATGGTTGGCCAGAAGTAGCCCTGGAGAATGAGCCTTCGGGACATGGAGAAGGGTCCCTGGTGAGCTGAGCAAGTGGCACTGTGCACTTCCTCCATTGCGACCTCGGCTTCATCTGGATGAAGGCACCGAAGTAGCGTGCCATTGTAAGATCGTTTGTAGAGCCTTCCATCTTCGATGGTGTAGCTGGGAGCCCTCAGCTTTGCCAGTTTAGCGCGGGCCTCATTCTCGGGTAGCTGCCCTGTGGAGATGAAGGCGGTGATATCTGAAATCCAATCCTCCTGACGTCGTTGTACGTTCATCACGGGGCTTGCATGGATGCTTGAGAGGCTGAGTTCCTCTATTTTGGCAATCTTGGAGATGTGCTCGGGGGAGTCTGCCGAGAGTTTAGATAATATGTCGGCCTCGGAGTTCTGAGCCCTCGGTATTTGAGTGAGAGAGTGTGCCTCAAATACCTTAAGCAACTCCTTGGCCGCTTCCTTGTACTGTTTCATTCTTCCTTCCTTGGCCTCATATTCTTCGGAGATTTGGCCAACGACCAACTTGGAGTCGCATTTGATGTGGATCTGCCGAGCCCTCATGTTGGCAGCCAGCCGAAGGCCACATAAGAGGGCTTCATATTCGGCCTCAT